ATAGGAAATACTCTAGGGGTGAAGTGAGATGTGGTACCATAGGAATGACAATGATGGTCATCTGTCTGCAATACTATTAAGGATAGTAAGAACAGTGTCAATAGTCTTATGGTGTGGGTTGACTATATGCACTTCTCTCTTRGACAAAGACAACTGGTTTTGTAGCTCATTAAATCCTCTATCACCTGAGAGTACAGTAAAAATGATTTCTTTTGGCAGCAGAACATCCAGTTTTCCTGCCTGGAAAATAAATGGATGAAAGCAATAAAAAAATGGGATTTAGAGAAAAAAGGTGCTTTGGACCATCACATTCCAGAGGCCATGATAGAGAGCCAAACAATCGTCCCTACTCATTAGTATCATTCCCATCATCTAACATGGCTGACGTCACATGATGGTGCAAACCCCCTATAACCCCCTATAGCAAGATGTTTTTTTTAAACCAAGCCAGATGACCTGACTAGGTGTGCAAAGCATGAGTTCCATGATTGAAAAAGATTCAAYCCCATCAACCAACTACATGCTTAATTCACTTGAGCATATGGTGGCCATTGCAAGTAAACCTTGAAACCTTATTTCGAAAACATGACTTGCGATATAATTGCCTGATGGTCTTTCCTCAGATCACCTGGGATTTTCTGGTTGTCAGTGGTACATACATACCTGGACACATAGAGCAAAGTCGGCAGCATCTTTAGACCTGCCACATTTAGGGTGCAAGTAAAAGCAGTTCATTCTTCGTAAGTTGTTCAGCAGGGATGAAGAAACAKGTGGTCTCCAGCTTGTAGATCCTCCGTGAAAACCCCACACAAATGTAGATGGAGAGAACGTCAGGTCTGAATCAAAGATCTTCTGCCAGTTGTCAATATCAATCTAATAAAAAGCAAACAAACAAAACTCTCAATTTCAGTGCCAGAAGTTGTTCTAATTAATTCACAATTCTTTTCTCCTGTTGTGAATGACCGAGCATCATGCACCAAGCCTCACATTGAAACCTTTATTAGTGACAAGAGAAGCATATATCTGTATATAGTTACAATGAAATGTTGTCATTAGTTATTTTTATTATTATTATTTATTATTATTATTACTATTATTAAATGGTTTACCACTACCCTCCTTACGATGTCCTCAACCTACAAAATTAAAATAGGCTTTACAAAGCTTTAAGGATGGATTATAGCAACTTCATACATACCATGACAATATGTTTCATTGTCTTCAGCTTATCCATGGAGGGGGGAGACGATGAAGGAAATGGGCGGACATTTAAATCGTTTCTTGGTCTACATGAAAAAAAGAATAGCATCATCTATTACAATGGATGTCAAAAATGTCATAAGTTTGTTAAGTTCTTATAATATTAAAATAGTAATTTTCAGCCTTATAGTATATCTATAGAGGATATTACATGGGCGAGCGGAGATATGAATTTTATCTTCRAGTGGTCAATTGATAACTCACGAGTGAGCGCAGCGAACRAATGAGATATCTAAATTGAACACGAGAAGATCAAATTCGTATCTCCAAGCGGCCATGTAATGTTCTGTTTATTATATAGATATCGATGAAACTTAAATAAAACAAAAGCTCAAAAATTCTTTATTAAAATAGCAAGCCGATTCAACAGCGATATCTTCACGTGTGAAAGATATGGTATCTTCCACTGGTAAAGATATCAAGTTTTGACACTAGAGAAAACCTGGTATTTCATCAATATCTATATAATAAAATAGAATAATATAGCCTGTCAGCAAAGGAAAAACTTAACAATGACAAAAAAGAAATGAAGTAAAAAAAGGAAGGAAGGAAGGAAGGAAGTGAATACCCTTTCTTTGCCTTTACTAGTACTACTGGTGCTAGTTATCTCTTGATGTTTTGCTTACCTCAGGGAATACCTTTTCTTTCCCTTTACTAGTTTACTAGTGCTAGTTTYATGTTTATGTTTGTCTTTGTTGTGTTGTAATAATGCCTTTAGTGTAGCGAATGTCTTTCCATGCTGAAAAATATGACACACACACATACTTCAGATAAACATTGATGTATGCAGTTGGAAAAAAAAAAAAAAATAGCCTCATTTCACTGACAAGAACATAACAAAAGTATAGCAATGCAGGAATAGTCACAGCACAACACACTAAAGTATGACCACATTAATATATTATATACATTTAAGCACAGGCTTTTGTATGACACATTTCAATGGCAAGCTGGCTTGTTTTATCAGATGTGGCATGTAAAAGCTTGTTAGACATGAAAAAGTACAAGCATAGAAGTAAGCAAATACATTAAAATGTGGTCATACTTTTGCACATGGCGCTGTAACTAGAGCTTACCATATAGCAAGAAAATGTTTTCTTAATAGGTATCCCTTTTCCCTTATTGTCTAAAATGTAAAAAATCTTTGTATTAGATTTCCAACAAAGTAAAGTTTTTAAACTTAAAAGTATAGGAATTAGGAAAGAAACTGTGTACAAGTGAACCTTTCTTGTTGTTTTTTGCAGGTTTTCTTGTAGCTTTTTGTTCATTATTGTCATCATCTGAAAGCAGGATCAGAGGATCTTGCCTTTGCTTAATAAATAAGAAAGAAATATTATAGATCTATAGACTAAATATAACATAGATACTCAATAGTCCCTTTCACAGTTCCCTGTGCCACTTTAAGAGGTAGCTGTGCCTTTGCATCAAAGCAAGATAAACTGTGACCTTACATTGATAGAGACATGTGGATAATAATATATTATTCAAAGTGTTGAAAAAGGTCTCTATCATCAAGGGCAGATCCAGCCAAAATTTTAGGGGGGGGGGGGGCTAATTGAGTTTAGGGGGGCTAATCAAGTTTCTTCCGTCAACACAACAGAAAACAATAAAAAAAATCTAATTCTTCAGTTTTGTTTTTGTTTTTGTTTTCTGCTTAAGGGGGGATTCAGCCCCCTTTCCCCCTGGATCCGCCCTCGATCATTGCAAGCTCACCATTCATCTCACTTTGATACAAAGATCTACCTTTTTAAGATGGTGCAGGGAGATGTGAAAGGAATTGTTGATGTTGCTATACAGTAATTTCACCTTGACAATGGTCCAACTRGGGCCATCTTTTAGAAGCACTTTTTCCCTAGGCCTCAATACTTCAGAAGGTTTTATCAAACTAAGATAGTTAGGCATTAGAATTTTGAAAATCTAATTTTTGGCCTAATAGTGTAAATTTTCATTCTTACTGAAACCATGATATTTTTCAATTATGAAATTTATCTGTCTGAGAAGGAAAACCTAACTTACTCTTTTGAATGGAGGAGGTCCAACACTACAAGGACTAGTACTTATGGATTCACTTCTTCTTGTCATTTCATCTATGGCAATAACAGCAGCAGGGTCTYGGCAAGGTGAATCAAACAATTCTATAACATCACTTTGCTTATTCCCATTACCATTGACTAATCTTGCTTCATTGCCCTTCATATTTTGTCTATCACTCGATAATGGACTAATTTGAACAAATCTATCATTTCCACCTCGTTCACTGTTAGGAGAATATATAACCACCGTTAATGGCCGACAGATTGTATTAATACCATCAGTTGTGGAGGATCTTCCAGATGTAGTATTAGTAGCTGTTGATACTTTGTCATTTTGATGGACAACAGTTCTTCTATTAACTAATGAAGGTAATGCMGCAATCTTAGAGGGTTCTTGATCATTCTTGGTTAACGTACATGTACTTGTATTAGAGATACTAGAACATGTTGCACTACCGGTGTAAATAGGGCTTTTTAGAGGATTAAGTTTTAAACGTTGTTGTGATGCATTTCCATTGCTATGACATTCACTTCCAAGTTYCGCATTAGTGTTATTGTGTTGATATCTATGGATACTACTTGGATGTCGAGACTGAACATGCCTGTCCAACATCTTAACAGTGGATAGCTCTGCTCTACACTGAAACACCAAAAATACATATATCAAAATATAGTATAATAACTTTGTTGTGAAAGAATTATAGTATAATAACATTGAATACATAAAGAGCTATCTATATATTGGTGCCCCTAATACCAAAATAAAGATTCAATACTAGTACCTCAGGACATGTGTAACTTGATTTATGTGACGACAACCTGGAATTCTTTGTTTTAAACTTTTCATACCATTTCTTTAACAGTCTCTTATTTTTATCTAATGCAGTAATTGCATGATTGTTTGACGATGAATCAGTATCACAGGAGTCTGGTAACTCTAAAGGGATATAATCTGGCATAGGATTGATACATGATGTTGATGATGGAATATAACTAGAACAGGAGGATTTGTTTGAACATATAGTGTTATCCACGYTTGAATTGTCATTTTGGTCCACATCTTCTGGCTCAGATACTATATCTATAATATCTGGACTGATAAGACTATCATCGAGTGATATGATATCTTTGCTCTCTCTATTTATTTCTGGCTCTTCGTCATCGTCAGATTCACAAAGTACAATCAATGGTGGTTTTGGCTTGGGATTAGGGTTTTCTATTATGATAATTTCATCATTGTCATCATCATCATCATCATCATCTTCTTTTCTATCACTCTGCAAATCATCCATAACTGCAAGAAAAAAAAAGAGAAAAAATAAGTCACCAAGAGAACACACAAAAATTATGATAATGAAAGTAAGTACTTATTTTTTGTACAACTCAATATTCCCCCAAATATTCCCTTAAAAGTGTGAAATGTTACAACTTCCGACTAACAATTTTAAGTTTTCAAACAATTACTATATATTTATAGGAATTACTCAATCCTTAAAGAAGAAAGTAAATTATAGCTTATATTCATATAGCATAGTCAGCTATAAAATATCTTGTACAGAGCAATAAAACTTGACAGAAATTTGAGCATATTTTGATGAGAATAAACGGAAACTTTGACAACGTTTATGCACTTGTCTGCCTAAAAACAAGGGGGAAAATTGTATAACAATTATTGAATATATCTTATATGGATAACTTACTTCAAGAGGTTGTGTTTCCTACCAAGAATACAAAAAAATGGGTTTTAAAAGACCCGCAAAATACAATTTTCACTCAACCATTTCGTTTTGTTTCGTGCGTTGACCCATGTATACATGGAGAATTTACGCGGGAGTGCCTCGTTTTGACTTGTCAAATTGATTTCCATTAGGGGAAGGGAGGGTAGATACCAATCATACCAATCATTCATTTTATTGCATTTCATTYCAAACAATATATAGATAAAAACTTATGCATCAAAATGACGCTTTTATCTTAAATAAAATAACATTGAAAAATATCAAGTTCTTTTTTTTTGATAATATTGAAAAAGCTACGTATTGTATGGGCTTCCTGTGTCATTACTAGTCTTAGTCTGTCCCTTATTCCTTATACCACAGGAACTCCATAGGTTACTGCTCAGACCACGTTGATATTTCTAGTGATCGAGGAACAAATGTCAAGTTAAAAGCCTATTTTCATTCATCCATAAGAGAAATAATTGAGTGATAATCTTTCCAATATGTTGACTGCATTGTGCTACATGCAATCCCTGAGGTTTGCTATTCCAGAGGCCAYCATGTTAGGAGTAGCGCCTCAGTATCTTGTCATTTGGATGTCATGGCGGCTAGTCTCTTCTGTTCTCCCTCGAAGAGTTTACGAACGAGGAGATGAATTCATGTACGACATGTACCAGTCACTYATATGTTTCTTCTTTGAGACGTACACTGGAGCTGAGGTACTGTAGATTTTTRGTGTACGGAAGAAGTGAATTTTATATTGATATGTTTAATAGATGACACTAATGTACAAGGGGTGTGTTGGAGGTGTGTTTGTGGGTCTAAGCATATTAAATTCTGGTATGAGCTTTCATTTCTTTTCCTTAGGTTATTTTTTATGGAGACAAGATTCCTTGGAACAAAAAAGAAAACATCATATTGATATGTAATCACCAATGTACAGGTATTGATGGGAATGGATGAATAAATGAATGAATGAATGAATTCATTAATGAATGCATGTCTAAAGGGATAGATTGCATATGATGGATAGATTGCATGGATGAATGATTAATGCATGATTGAATGAATGAATGCAAGAAAGAAAGAAAAAAAGGATGGATGGAATAGGATTGATGAATAGATGTTAATRCGATGGATGTATCAATAGACATGTGGAATGGGATGTGATGTATGCTAGATGGGATGGATAGATTGATTGTATGAATGAATACAAGAATGAATGAATAGATGGATGGATGTCATTATGTAAATGAATAAAGGATTAAATGAATGAAACAATTTGAATGAAAGAATTTGATAGGTTGTGATAAGTAAATTAGATGGATGGGTGATTAATGCATGATTGAATTAATGCRGGAAAGGATAATTGGATGGACAGATCATAGGAAGAATTAATGAACCATTTAAAGGATGGATTGATGAATGACTTTTCATCGATGATGAATGCAACCCCTAAAAATTATGAGATTACATGCTAATTTACTATAAGTAACACACTTTCCTTTTTTAAGTGGACTGGTTAGTTGCAGACCTTCTAGCAATACGGCAAGGATCTCTAGGAAACATCAGATATGTATTAAAAAATGGTCTACGATATTTGCCACTCTACGGATTTTACTTTGCCCAGGTATTTGCCATTATATATTGCYAATGTATTGAAGAAATGTAAATGCATTTTTTTAGAAAGGGTGTCACCATGACAATTGTGATGTGTTGTAAACAACAGACTGATGCCAAACCAATTCATCAAAGCAAGCAGCACTTATTTAYGTCATTTATTATTGTGGCTGTTTGATTTCTAATGCAAGTTATATATTGAACGCTGGTATATATTTTTCCAGCACGGCTGTGTGTATGTCAAGAGAGGAAAAAATCAAGACCAGGTTCAGTTGGAAAGGTAGGTACTGCCTGTTAATGGTAAAAGTCTATTCACTTTCCAACATAAAATTAAGTTCTATTATTATTCTTAATATTATTAAAAGGGGCTATATGAAAGTAGCAAGAACTTAGTTATTAATGTTATTAGTATATTATTAATATTATCATCATTGTTGCGGTTATCATTATTGTTGTCGTTGTCATTGTGCATGTTGTTGCTATYATTATTAATTTTTGTTTTTCTTTTYTTCCTAGAAAATTAGCTCATTTCAAGAATTACAAAACTCCAGTAAGTAATTCCAAAAAATATTTAGAACCCTCCAGTATAGACTGTATCAATTCTTTATCCTTCATTTGGAACTCTCAAGAATCATGATTATTCTTTGATATACTAGTAACTTATAGARCTTATTTTCTGGCCATCATCCAGGACGTCCAGATAGGGAAAACCAGTAACCCAATTTCTTGAATATAGGTAGTCACTGAGGATGTTAGGCCAGGGTATGTTTTCAAGCTCAAGGGCACAATTGTTTTTCTATCTGGACTGACTTCAGGACAGTTAAAAACTTTTAAATTTTATTGATCATATTTTATCTATTTCTTGTATTTTTTCAGYTATGGTTAGTGATATTCCCAGAAGGAACAAGATACAATGTTGAAAATCCAGACACCATAGAGAAAAGTAAAGAGTTTGCCAGACAGCAAGGTACAACTTATTAAAGATTAATGTTCTTACTTATTGATCATTGTAGTTAATTTTGTGTTTTTGGTCTATTTTAGGGTTAAAGGAACTGGAACATGTGTTGACACCAAGAACTAAGGCTACTGAAGTGAGTATAGACAGACAGACAATCACTAGTTAGGCAGGCAGACAGACAGATAGACTCGTAAACAAATAGCCAACCAAGCCAACCAGACAGATAGACACCACTATATGACAGACAGGCAGGCAGACAGACAGCCACCACTATATGACAGACAGACAGACTCTACAGCTAGGCAGAACAACAGTCAGACAGGCAAACAGACAGAGAAGGCTCCAGTAAGGCTTAATCCGACAAGCAACACAAGAATGTTAAGATGGAGAACATGGAGAGATGCATGACCCCTAATTCGACCACACAGACAGACAGACAGACAGACAGAAGGCAGATTATTATAACAGACAGACAAGCATGCGGACACAGACAGATACGTTGTCGTTATTCATTATATTGTTGCCTTTATACGTTTCAGATTAGCATAGATCAGCTTGATGGATACATAGATGCTGTTTATGATCTGACYATTGCATACAAAGGTGTCGACGACAATGTTTTACCACGCCTACCTGCCAAGAGTATGCCAGGTAACAATAACTATCATCAACTACTTCTGCCACATTCCTGATTTTCTGTTGAGTATTTTTATCTTTTTTGATTGTTTTAGATTTTCTGCAGTCCCGAAATCAGCAGATTCATATTTATTGTCATCGATATGAAGCTAAAGATATTCCCAAGGTTAAGCTATTTATCACATTATACTTTCACCTTCCAACCAACTGGGGAGGGAAATTTACTTGAATCTCCTTTGATGATSATCATCCTTGTTCAGGTAACTTCCAAAATCTGTTATCATAGTCTGACTTTTATTCCTTGGTTTTTCATAGGATTCAGAAAAGAGAAAGCAATGGTTATACAACTGTTATATAGAGAAGGACAAGTAAGATTTCTTTCTTCATTCTCRACATCTATCACCAATTTTCCCAGAAACTCTTCTAATGATTTTCTTTTTATACAGAATCATGGAAAGATTCTACRAGAACGGAGGAGGTAGTTTTCCAGGAATCCCACGACGTCGACGTTTACCATGGTATAGGACCACACCCTATTTCTTATTTTGGTTGGCTGTCTTGACTCCATTTATTGGYACGAAGACTGGAAGATCACTTTACTGGAAAATGTGGTTATTGACCGGCATTGGAAGCTTGTTTTTTATGGCAGTTCGTAAATAATATCAACTTTTATTTATCAGCACAGTCTTAGTTAAATATTAAAAAGCTTTGAGAAAACTTTGTAGCTTGTACATTAATTTGTAGTTTTAAATTAACTACAGGTAAATTTGAAGTTTAAGTAGAGGGTGGCTTGTTTCTTCAGGAGGCAATCAAATACACTACTTTACCCTCCATTAGTGCTCTGTYCATAGATTGGTTGAGAAAGCTATAGCTACTCAGATAAGCTAGACAGAAATTTCAGATCACTAACAATCAAACAAGTTTTTTCATCTTTTCACGGTGTATAATTTACCTTTTCATCATTACTGTAACAATCAAACAAGACTTCTTACCTTGCATTAGTACTCTCTTGCTAACTTGACAATCCTTAGTCCTACTGGGGGAGGAGGGGTGGGGTAGGCAAAGACTGCATCAATGTTAGGGATGAGGAACAGATTGCAGTTTGTTCACAAATAATAACTATTTTTTAATTTCTGATATATCAACAATTAAACTCATCACAAACTGAACTTAAAATTTATTAATAAAATCACATTTTTTCTACGAACAGCAGCTACATGTATTAAATAAAATAATTTGAATCARTAATTGATAAAGTATTTGAAATGAAGTATTTCCTCTATGTACAAAAAWAAAACTAAGTTGATGATAATATAGAATTGACATACGATATGGACTCCAGAGATTCTATTTCACTTTGGGCAGTTTTAGTGTGCAAACCTAAGTGAGAATAAATAAATAATCTCTGGACCTCAGGGGAGGGTTGACATAAATAGTCTGAGAATTATCTTTTATACTTAGCTACTAGATTTCCAGCATAATATACACTAAATCCCTAAAACTTTGACAATATAGCAATATATATACACATATATGTATATATTAAGTATACATCGCTAAATATTATTGTCAAAGTTCTAGGGATTCTGTGTATGCATATATATATAATATATTTATGTATGTATTGCAGTGTACTTTTGAAACACGAACATGAACTAGCTATGAATCTTATGACAATATATTTTATTTACAACCTTTCAAACATTCAATCACATTAATGATTTTCATGACTACCAGCTCCATGTTGGTGAATGAAAAATACTTTGTTACTGCTTTCTTTTCATACCAACCAACATGGCAGTTATACTTGTTGGTTATGTTATTTACTTGAATTGGTTAAGACTGCAAACTACCAATTTTGAGCAGTAGGTGCTGACACCCTTTCACTGGCTCTACATCCCAGTAGAACCTAGATTCTGGGATCATTTCTGAAAGAAACAAAACTAGCATTTATATTGTGGTAATTGTTATCATGAAACAAGGATGATCTTGTAAGCACCACCCAGTTGATTCTGCTGRACACCAGACTGTTGTGCAGGAAGAGCCAAGGCCAGACCAACACTCAGRATCTTAAAATATCTWTAGAATATCTGATTTGAAGAAGCTTTGGTCTATAAAATAAATCTGCAAATAACTAGGGCCTTCACTGTGGCTTGGATGACCATGCAAAATGGCATTCGATTCTAGATTAGGGAAGTTAACACAGACACCCAATGATATCAAATTTGTTGACACTGTCCTATRTATAAGGCTTCACTGGCAATGCAAACAAAAGCATAACAGCATGCACTATCCAAGCTCAGATAGTCTTTCCAAGTTAGTAAAACACCCAGTTAAGTACTATCTGCACTTGYGTTTGTTGTTATGCTTATGCTTGTGTCACTAGTGTGAACCAGGCTTCCAACCTGTATTATCTCAAAGATGTTGACTCAAAACTTGTAATTACCGAATCAACATCCCTGCTTGGGGATCCCGAGTCTTTTGCACCAGAAGTGCTTGAAGCACCCCCCTGATCATCAGACAAGAATGATGCACCATCACTAGTATCAGGGCGGGTTGTTTCACAATTCTGGTTCGCAACCCTTTCAGCACTTATTTCATTGTCATTTCTTTCAGGATTGTCACTAGTCGTGCTGGAAGGGGAGGAAAGAGATGTGTCCTGTTTGTTAGATGTTGTTGGTTTTGAAGGTTGCAGTCTTATTCCTGCAACACCTTTACTATCAACATCTCGTTTGTCTCTCTTAATCCTTCTTCGTCTTCCTGGCTCATTTCGCCGCATTTGAAACATATTTTCAAAATCAATTAAATATAAAAAGCCAGCAATAAGTAGAGTACAAGAGCGTTTTCCGTTTTTAAAAGCAGCCTCAACTTCTCTGGATGTTTTGTCATCGTATTGCCACCATCCATTCCTGCCTTCATAGTACCATAAGTAATCATTCTCTGTTTCATCTTGACAGCTTGTTTCTGACGGCAACTCAGTTTTGGTAGACACTTTAACAAGAGTAGGTTTGTCTAGGAAGTCAGCAGCGATAGCTTGTCGACATATAGCGCATTTACGGCTACGAAGAGCCACTCCTTTGATACAAAGAAAACAGAAAATATGGCCGCAAGGAAGCTTTACAGGGTAAGAAGCTGGCTGTAAGCAGACAGGGCAGTCAGGATGAGAATCTACCTCCACCACATCCTGAAGTAACTGTTCTTCGACATCTGTTGAAGAAGAAAAACAACAGCTTGAGTTTATTGAGGACATTTGAATGTTTCGCTTTACTATCTGATGAGAAACTGAAAGAGGACTGATCAAATAACATACCATTTTCTTCGCCGTTTTGAGGATTTGGGGATTCATTTAAGTCGTTCTTAGTGGATGAAGAACTGTCTTCTTGAGGTGAACTTCTCTCAATTCGTTCTGCCATGGCGATCGGGTGTAAATAACATTAAATTTGGGCTAAAAAATGAACCAACTTTTGAAGAAAACACTAGGTTTGACATCTGGTACCCATGCCTACTCAATGAAAAGACGCAAAGAACCACGGGTACTTAATACTTGTCTGTCTGTCCTCATTCTGTCTGTCTGTCGTCTGTCTATTCGTTCTGCGTGTCTGTCTAYTATCTATGGTTTCTTTCGAGTCTCTCTTTTATTTTCTCCATCTTTCACACTTTTTCATTTGTTTTAGAATAAATCAAGCCGTGGTTTGTGTGGTGGGAGGGGAGGGGTAGTGTGTCGTGTCTTGGCTACGTTTACGGGGGCTCGCATCCATAGTGCTAAATCCCACTGCATGAGTTGTACGACAAATTTCCCAAGGGATGACTGCAAAAATTACAGTAAAAACGACTTGTACTTTYAGCAAGAAGTTCGACATGATCTTTTTTGAGAAATCGCCAAGCCAGGCCAGCCCAGCCCAGACCATATAGTAGTATGACACACATGCCTGTCAACAGCAAACCACTTTTTCATGACCAACAAAATTGCGCGTCAAGTAGCAAAGAATGCTCAATATGTGCTCATACTTYAGTACCCTTTTTGTCTCCCTAAACCAGTCCAGAAAGGAATTATTTGTTTGAAAATGCGAATCGCAGCTAGAATATATATATATATAAACCGGTCCGCCCGTGCCATGGGGAAAAACTAACGCTTTCTTTAGTGAGATTACGGAAATTGAAAACTGAAACGCTAGATTCTGTAAAGATTATCATTACGATAGCTAGTACCTTGAACAAAAACCTTTCTTCGGGATTTCAAACATCAAATCAATAATTTATAGTATATTTTAAGCAAGAGGCCATGGTCTCTTGATCCTAATATTAATCAATGACATACTTTGTATATTCATTATTGTTTTTGTAACAAATGCCGTGTTATTTCCAGTGATTTTGCAGCGATTTCCGTATAAATTGTCCTAGTTATTTCCCGTACTAAAACACGTAGGAAAGTATTTGTCCTGTATAAGCTAGMAGTGTTAAGTATTTGGTGTGTTTTGGAGGTTTTTTCGTCACTTTTTCAAAACCAAAGTAATTCATATGAGACAGGTGTTTTGAGTGTTTTTGCGTATAAGAAAATTTTTAGATTTAATTGTGTACTTTGATTTTACTTTTTACTCCAATGCATATCAAAACTAACCCATTATTCTCAATTTAAGGCACCACGAGCCCTTGAGAATCTTAAATGGCATCTTTTTCTAAGAATCTCACTCTAAGAATCGGAAATTCTTGACACACTTTTCTTTCCCACAGTAAATGTTTGTAAATTGAACACAGAGGCGTGAAATTACTATTCTGAACAATACGCGTAATATCCGTAAACGATTTTTAATTACTTAAAATAATCTCGCTTCAAGAAAAAAATGCGCTTAAAAATTCATTGGATGGGAATAATGACAGATGTTTGGTTTACGAGAGTGGGATTTCCACACAAACTGGCATTCTTATCTTGAGATTACATAGGATATAAAACTCGACAAACGCCACAACAACAGCACATAATAGCTCAGACCAGGATTCTAGCCAAGACATGGCAGGTAAGTAACAATAAATAGTAAAAAATCAATGCCAGTATCTTTTTATGGTTATTTGAAATCTATAAACATGCGGTAAGAAATTATGATCGAGTTTATGCTTTTACTGCATGAAGAGAGCGATTCTCTGTGATTTGAGGGTACCAGTGTCTTGCAGCGTACTAAAAGGTACTATAAGCAAAGGTGCCTCAACGAAACCTGCCAAATATTGATTTTCTTTAATTTTGGAAGGTCACCTCAAATGGTAGGGGGGAAAAATCTACTAGCTTTAGCTGTTGTCGGGTAGAACCATTTCCCGTACATTTCCAAGGGATATTTCAAGTTAATATTGCATGTGTGGAATACATGATTTGCTTACTCTTTCCAACGCGACATTTTGTAATTGTACTTTGTGAGGGCGCGGTATGAATTCAAGCGTATAATAAAAATAAAAATAAAATAACGCGCCTGGCTTTTTAGCAACTGGGCAAACTGAAAAAGAATGCATGCACGTGTTAGTTCTAGTTCTGTGAGTACTAGAATCATCAGTCTTATTGACATTTTTATCTCTGATTTTTAGGTTCTCTTAGCACCGTTTTACTCCTCTTGGCGGTGTTTACATTGTCCAGCGCTCTGTCACAGTCATTTTCCAAGAGAGTTTCAGCTGACGATGAAGATATCTTCCAACGCCCTGTACCTAAGCCGTTGAAATACCCCGGCAAAGTTTTGGACGTAGAAGACAAAGAACTCCAAGAATTAGCTGAAGATTCAATGGGAGTAAGAGAAAGGGAACGAGAGAGAGAGAGACTGAGAAGATTGGAACGGGAAAGAGAAAGGGAGAGAGAGGAAGAGTTGAAATTGAGAAATGAACTGAGAAGAGAAAGGGAACGAGAACGGGARAGRAAASKAAGACACGAAACAAGAAGAATGACWGGTGATAATGGTTTTTCGCCTGACTCTGCGATTTCTGTAATCTCTGAGAATATACCCACGTCCAAAGATCAGTCCCGAGGATTGCGTGGTAAACATCGAGGACGCGAGGAAGAAATCGAGAAAGAAAGAACCGATCATCATGGAAGGAAAGAGAAAGAAAGGATCCACAAAATGGAACGTGAAAGACTACGACAAAGAAAGRTTCATGGCCAAATGAGGAAAGAATTAGAGAAAGAAATGAGAGGACATCGTCAACGATTAATGAAAGTTGGCAACAAATTCAGAGAACAAGAGGAACGGTTTCGCGCACGTTCAAGAGCCCGAGGAGCCTCTTTGAGGACTTAATAACAGATATTTTGAATATCGAAGGAATTGATTGGATCCGGAGCTGGAATTCAAAATTGTTCATAAATCATTTTAAAGCAAATTTATTTAAACTGTACGAAGAAATCATGTGTAGTTAAAATTTGATTACTGATCAGATGTTACACGATATATCAAAGGTACTGTGATAACGTTGAGTCGGTACACAAGATGTTATTGTAAATGCATGTATTAATGAGAAAAGATTAAAGAATTAAGAACGAGCATGAGAAAAGTTTAATTGGTTGTTTATTGTTTGCGTGAAGGCTTTATTTGCGACAGAAACTGTGGGGGGAGGGGAAAGAATATAAAAAGAAAACAAAACGAATCGGGAAATGATGATAGTCGATATCCTTATAAAAATATTATTAACACAAAGCGATGAAACTATGCATTTCTTTTGTTCCTCATTTTTTTTCATCATTCTTGGCGAAGAAGCAAAAAAACTTGTCATAATCGCTAATCACCACTGCAAGTACAGCAGTAGCACAGCTCAACGGGGTCGAACTGAAAGCATGTGAAGGCGCCTCTGGCAGCCGCTTTACAGCCCATGTATGACCCAGGATCACAGCTCTAACGAGTTTGAATTAATTAGGGTTGATTTTTGAGWGTAGAAAAGGTAGTCTTCTCATCTTCTCTCCTCTCCTCTCCTTTTACATTTAATTGTTTCAGCAAATATTTTAATCGCCATCACAATACCTTAAAGGTGCATTACATATTCGACGCTGTCATTAAAAACAATTAGACTAAGAGATAATTTAATTTTGTTTTTAACGCAAATGGTTTCTAAAAACAAATGTTAGCAAAACGCGTTTTAACTCCTTCATATGTAACGATGAATAGTGATATGGGTGTTGCAATGTGTCCATTTTTATGTCATTACGAAATAGTTGAATAAATAAATAGTTACAATGGGAAATTGGAATATAAACACTACTTTGAGAATCTTTCCTTGTTGACGAAGGCAGAAGAGTTCTTATGTYCCAGTGAAAACTGAGCTGTTTCTGGCAGTCGATTCCACACGGTTAGGTTTTGAGTGGAATCTTTCGATTTCTTTGTCTGAAA